ATTTTGTATGCTCTGTTTAGCTTTGTATTCTTGCTTCTTGCTATTTTCTTCTCTTGCTTCTTTTTCACCCCTGCTTTCCAAAGCTTCAATCTTCATCCTTTTATAGCTGGTAATGAGAATCCGTCCGTTGGAAAGAAACGGTCTCATTTTCGAATTTTGCTTAGCTGTATAGCCTTTTGTCAGAAGATAAGATAACGTTGCAGATCTTGTTAGATATTTCAAATTGAGCTTGAGGTTTCAGCAAAAATGGCGTCCCATGAATCTCCATCTGGTGTAGATCACGCCTCTTGGGATTTTTATCTTCAAAATATATTCTCCAATATAATCCCTTACTAGTTAGACTAGTATTTTTGCTCCTGCAACTTCTTCTAATATCTTCCTCTGTTTTTCGTGTATCTGGGTCTGTATACTGCTTCCAGACTTCATCTCTTCAATTGACTTGGAAATCTCTTCCCTTGTGAAACTTCATCCCTTTCTATTTTGGGAAATGAAATCTCTATCCCTTGCTAGATTTGTCAATTGAATTCTCATCCCTTACTTGATTTGGAATTGCAATCTCCCTTGTGAAACTTCATCCCTTTCTATTTTGGGAAATGAAATCTCTATCCCTTGCTAGATTTGTCAATTGAATTCTCATCCCTTACTTGATTTGGAATTGCAATCTCATCCCTTGCACCCTGTACCAATTTGAACTTTTGAATTTCAATTCTTCTGATGAAATTGCATCCCTATTTCAATTTCGGGGTTCCAATTTGTTTGGGATACCAATTTGAGAACTTCAATTCTTCTGATGAAATTGCATCCCTATTTCAATTTCGGGGTTCCAATTTGTTTGGGATATTGCATCCCTATTTCAATTTCGGGGTTCCAATTTGTTTGGGATACCAATTTGAGAACTTCAATTCTTCCTATATTTCAATAGTGTTGTGAAAAATATCGTGAAATTCAATATTTGTTCATATAAGTCACATATAAGTAATTAGATTTCTAAGATTTCTAAAAATTGAACTTTGAATAGTGAAATTCGATATTTGTTCATATAAGTAATTAGATTTCTAAGATTTCTAAAAATTGAACTTTGAATAGTGAAATTTGGTAAAGGTAAATTTGATTCTATGATTTCTATTATTATATGATCTATTTATGATATTTTTTTCTATTGTCAATAGAAATCAATCTCAGTTCATCTAATTCAATAGAATTCTAATGAAATATCGAATCTACTGTTGTTCCTCAGCATCCCTATTTCAATTTCGGGGTTCCAATTCGTTTGGGATACCAATTTGAGAAACTGCATCCCTTCACTTGTAAACTTCATCCCTTAGTCAATTTGGAAATCTCATTCCCTTTGACTTTGCAAATTGCATCCCTTGAAATCTCATCCCATAGTCAAATTGGAAATCTCATCCCATTGACTTGCAAATTGTATCCCTTCGGCCAAACCATCGCCTCTTACTTGATCAGATGGAATTTTAACTTGGCTTCTTTAAAATATGTGGGATGTGAGATTTGAACCTATGACCTTACACATAATATTTCAAGCTTCTACCATCTCATCCGTACAGCCTATTGGTTATCTTCTTGTTCCACTTGGTGTACTCCTTTCTTTCCATAGATGCTTGATCTTCAAGATAGCTTCATGCAAACTTCAAGTCACGTTCTTTCTTCTTCGGGATTTCTTGAGGGATTTTCTCAAATTTCATACGCATACATCTTCCTCTTCTGTTTGTCATTTTCTCTTGACAAATTCTTGATTTTTTGACTTGATATCTTCTTCATCCATTTCCTCAACTAATAAATTTATTTTTCCCTTTCTTGGTCTAAGACTCGACTAGTCTAATAAAATAAAATTGGGGATCTACAAATTACAATATGGCTTATCAAAATCTATTACAATTTATTCCTAACACATTATAACTTATAAATAAAACTTATTTTAAAAATTGTAATTGGTTGCAGAATTCTTTTTGTCTTTGTTTTTGTTTTGTTACTAGTTTTTTACGCGCATTGCGCGATTGGGATAATGCCCAATGTTTTTTTTTTAAAATAAGTACTTTAAAGTATATTAAGGCAAGATTATATTGAAATTGTTCATGCATAGATAATTGAAGGTTGAATTTGCGTATTTAAATATGTAATTCTTCTCCAAAAGGTTGAGTCCCCAACCCCAAGGCCCCCCCACACTCCGACCCGACAGAGCATTGTGGGAAGTTGTAAATCACGGTGACTCAATGGTTCAGCAGACAGGACCAAATGCCGGTGCGAACAAGGAATCTGCCCACTTTGGACATAATTCACGCACTGCCGCCGCCGAGGTTCAAACCTTAGTCTCTTCTCCCAAATACTGCCCACTAAACCATTGAGCTAAGCCCGTGCGGGTTAAATAGGTAATTCTAAGTTTACAAATGCAAGATAATATAGTCAAGATTGGTTATAATTGTCAATAAAATAATTGTATAGGTATGGTTGGAACCAAATACGGGACATAAGGGAGAACAAATAAAAATTAGGGCATAAAATATTAAATATATACTAATATTGTTTGAGGAGATTTCGACATTAGGATTTGTGGTTAAGTTCTATTAAGACTTTAATATTAGAATTAGATTAATGGTGTAATTATAATTCTATATTAGACGTTAATATTAGAATTAGACTAACGTTGAATTAACGGTATCTAACGGAAAAGTTAAATGGATAATCATATAATTAAGGATAAATTAGAAAAACTTTTAAAAAAATCAAAACCTGAACAATTTGAACCATTCATTTGATTTAATAATTTGGCGGTCATTTTTTCTACCCAATGTTAATAATTAAATAAATTTGTTAGTCAAATCCGCTAATATAATCCGCTAACTGCTGATTGTCAAACAAGGACATTGCAAGGTATTTCTCACTTCAATTTGTTGTGTGATTTGAATACTCTCTTTGTCACAAAATCTCTCAAGTAGTTAATATGGTTGGCTTTATTAATTATATATTTTTTTAATTTTTTCATGGTATTAATAAAATACTTGGTAAATAAATATATAGCATTATTTTGTATTATAACTTTGATATTTAATTAGAAAAATAGTGCACAAAAAAGATAATAGACAATATAGTGAATATAATCAATTGATGAATTTGAATGTAAAAATATTTACATTTGAAAAAAATAAAGACAATATAACTAATGAAAATATTTCTCTTAATTAATTTATTGATAATGAATAATTTTTTTACTGAATTAAGACATTGTAAGGACAATGTACCGAATATAATCAATTAATAAATTTGAATATAAAGAATTTTTATATTGTAGAAAAATAAAGACAATATAACTAATACAATTATTATTTTTTATTTAATTTATTAATAATGAATAATTTTTTTTTGAATAAAGGCATTGTGGACACATAATTCTAAATTAAAGAAATGCATATCTATAATTTTTTGTTGTAGCTACTAAATTATTATTTATATAATTTAATAAGAGTAAAATAGAGTACTAATTATGCCAACTTTGATTGGGATGAGGTTCGAACCTAAGACCTTTTTTTATTGAAATCAATGAGTAAGTTAACGGTGAACTAACGACAATTCTTAAAATTTTAACGGAATTAGTAACGGTGTGTGGGCATTTTAGAAAATTTTAGTGTAAAATTTAAATCTTATCAATTTTTTAATTAATCTGAGTCATTCATTTGATTAAAATCTATGACCGCCAATTTTTCTACCCATTATAGGCCTAACTCTCTTGGGCTCTTATTAGTATAGTAGATAGTAGATATATATATATATATATATATATATATATATATATATATATATATATATATATAGTTAAAGGTTCTCGTGCGGATGTGCTGTGGATTAATGTGCGTAAGATTTGTACTCAATGTGCGTGAGTGTTGTGCTTAATGTGCCTGAGATTTATACTTAATGTGCGTGAATGTGTAAAATGCAGCAGAAAATATTGATGTTAGCTTCTTCCCCATCCCCAATAGCCATTTGCCCCCTCCCTGATGATGATGATGCGGAGGCGGGCTATGGTGGTTAAAAATTATGGGAATAATACAACAGAAATCCACACTTAGCTGCTGTGCAAATTTTACTGTGCGTTCGTCATTTATATAAACATTCAACTGCACTGAAGGTAGCTGATAATCCAAAATCCATGGCCAAATTGAAGGAAGAAGTAACAAGAAGCTTGAGCGTTAATGTGCGTGAGTTTCTGTTCTGCTTCCTTCTGAGCTCGTAATTCTGAAATACGCATGCACATTAAGCACAAATCTCACGCACATTAAACACAATACTCAGGCACATTAAGTACAAAACTCACGCATATTAACATGACGCACATTAAGTACAAATCTTAGGCACATTGAGTACAAATCTCAGGCACATTAAGTATAAACCTCCGCACATTAATCCACCGCACATCGGGGAAACAACAAATGCACCTAATCCCATATATATATATATATATATATATATATATATATATATATATATATATAAGGTTAAAAGTGGCAAATTATGCTGTGCAATCGTGTTCATCATGCATGGTGCACACTGTTCTATGTTCATAATTATTGAATTATATGTTCATAATTATAAAGCTATATATTCATAATTTTTGAACTTCATATTCATAATTATTGAACTCTATATTCACAAATCACAGAACTATATGTTCATAATTTGATAACTATACAATTTAAAAATTATGAATCTACAGTACAGAAATAATGAATCTGCAGTATAAAAATTATGAATCTACTGTACAGAAATTATGAATCTACAGTTTAGAAATTATGAATCTAGAGTATAAAAATTATAAATCTATAGTATAGTAATTATGAATTGGAACCGTGATATTTTAATATTTAAAAAAAAAAAAAAAAACAATCCATATAAGTTGGGCCGTATAATAATGTATATCAGATTCGAATTCCCATTTCCAAAGCCCAAAAGACAAGAATTTATTTCTCTATTTAAACTCCTATTTGTATTTTCTACCGTAAATTTCTTTCAATCGCTTTCGGCGTTTGTGTCGTTCCGTTGTTAGGGTTTTTGGTATCCTGTCCCAAAGGTGAACGAACCTCTTCTCTCATCCCTTTTCTCTTTACAATACTGTACCCTTTTCTTGTTTTTGAACTCGAAGAATCTAAAAAGATGGCGTATAAGTGGTTTTCTGTAGCCTTTACGGATTTTAGCATTTTGCTGTTGTGTTTATTCCGTGGGTTCTGATGTTTTTGAGGTAACTTTTAGGTTTTTGAGCTGATCGCCTTTGCAAAAGATGAGGCCAATATTTGTGGGTAATTTTGAGTACGATACTCGCCAGTCGGATCTGGAGCGGGCCTTCTCCAAGCACGGGAGAATCGAGCGTGTCGACATGAAATCTGGTAATGAGGCGGCTCTCCTTTTGTCTGGAATTCATTTTTCCGTGGTTGTTGTGTTGTGATGAACTTTCCACTGTTTTCTAGTTAGCTAAGTTTTTAATGTATTATTAGGGTTATAATTTGTGTTTATTACGACTAATAACCTGGATTGGATTTAACCCCCCTTGAGTTCTTCAAGTTAAATGATGTCAAAGTATGGCTCCATAAATTTGGGAATTTCTCTGACTTCCATCTCAAAAAAGGTTTGTTATTGGTAATCAAACATGTAATGGGGTCATTCTTACACTGGCATTGTAATTTCTATCCATTTTTATGGATGCTTTAACTGTTTGGATTTTAGTGTAGTCTCTGGAGTGTGGTTTATTGGTAATTTTCATGCCTCTGCATTGTAATTTCTTTCCTGGTAATGGAAATTGGGTCCGTCTTGTAAACAGTTTATAGTCACTTTTCTTGTGATACTTGTCAGAATTAAAAAAAAAATTGTGCCCCTTGTAATTAAGTACACAGTGTATATTAACTCATGACATAGATTCTGATCGGACAGATTCACAAAAGATATGGTTCATTGTGTATATTCAGTTGAATGAAAACTCTTGGTTATGGCTACCTAATCGTAGCATGTTCATAACAATAAACCTGGCATGGGAGGGGTCCTAAATGGAGACAAATTTTGAAATGTGTCAAGTGAAGATAGCCATATTTAAGTGTTTGTTTTGACGCAGGAACATCTCTTAAGGGAAAATGAGCTTCTACATTGGCTCTACACTTCTCTGCAAAATAACATTCTAAAGCAAAGGAAACCTATCTGCTTGCTTGCCTCCTGCTCTCCTTCCACTCACGGATGGAAGTGTACTACATTTCTTTATACGACCTTCTGTCACCCACTCACTTCATTGTTGTTGTCCATCTTGCAATTTTACAAGAATGGTCGTTGTGGAATCTGTCAGTTCATCATGCCATGCGTACCATCACTAAGTTTAAAGGGGATCAATGAATTATATCATGCCATGCCCTACTTATTCTGAACTCGTGCTGTGAAATTGGTGAAGCATGGTTAGCAATGTCTACTCAGAACTGACATGTTGGATATAAACCTTTAATAAGCAATCATCATCCTCTTCATCATTTAGTTCATGCAATGCCTCTACATCCTTGCTTTCTTCAGACCTTCACATACTTGCAGGTGTTGTACCTTATTACATTCCCACCAGGGAGAGAATTGTGATTTACCCCTTGTATTGTCTGCTGAAAAAGACATGAAATGTCCTTGAGGTGCTATATCTCCCGTATTTCTTAACTTTTATTATTATAACTGCAGGATTTGCCTTTGTCTACTTTGAGGATGAGCGTGATGCTGCAGATGCCATTCGTCATCTAGACAATATGCCTTTTGGACATGACAGGCGCAAACTGTCAGTGGAATGGGCAAGGGTATGCTTTTTGCCATTTCTCCCCGGATTTAATTTGTGAACGTTTTTTTCCCATGTTTAATTTTCTCCATCTCTATCTCCTCTTCCATTGCAAACTCGTGCCTAATTAGTAATCATTAACATTCAAACTTATAATAATCATTCTTTTTATAACTTGTGTTTGGCAGGGTGAACGTGGCAGGCATCGTGATGGCTCCAAGTCTGTGGCAAACCAGAGGCCAACCAAAACTCTATTTGTGATCAATTTTGATCCTATTCGGACTAGAGTCCGAGACATTGAGAGACACTTTGAGCAATATGGTAAAATCATGCATGTCCGAATTCGAAGGAATTTTGCTTTTGTGCAGTTTGAAACTCAGGAGGAGGCCACAAAAGCTTTGGAGTGTACACATATGAGGTAGTGCTTTGCATATATGCATTTATCCTGCAGAATGCCCTTTTCTTATGACCACAAGCTTTCTTAAGAAATTTAGTTATGCACATTTCATTTCACATAGATGAGTAAATTGATACTTAAGGTGTTGTTTCATTTGCAGCAAGATACTTGACAGAGTGGTCTCAGTTGAGTATGCTTTGAGAGATGATGATGAGAGAGGAGACAGGCCGGATAGCCCTAGAAGGGATTATGGAAGGCGAGGTGACAGCCCATATAGGAGATCACCGAGTCCAGTGTTCCGTAGAAACCGACCCAGTCCTGATTATGGACGCCCACGCAGCCCTGTCTATGATCGATACAATGGTCCTTCATATAATCGAGTCAGGAGCCCTGAATACGGAAGGCACCGCAGGTAGTGTCATGTGTTTTAGGAAGATAAGTCTCTCGTAGTCTTGTGAATCAAAGAAGCACATTACATTTTGTTGTTGATATCTGCTTGTTGTAACCTTACTAGCAGGTCTCCTGTTCACCACCGGTCAAGAACTTGATCCCGCACAAGAATAGAGGAAGATTGCTACTATGTCTACTAATGACGTTGTTTATGTAAATGGCTATATAGGGGATAGTACATTATGTATCCAAGAAGAGAAACTTAGAACAATTTATGTGTTGTTAGTTGCATTTTGATCTTGCCTTTTGCGTATTGAGCATCCTTGTTTTGCCATTTTTGATGTATTGTCTTTGGAGTGTAGCCTTCCAGAATCCAGACTAGCACATATCCATTTTGTCTTGATTTGAAATTTATGGTGTGTTTGGAAAGTAGGAAAATGACTTCGAAAATATTTTCATTTTTAATGTTTGGTTGCATTTTAGAAAATTGTCTTGGTGTGTTTGGTTCATTTTATGGATAACGAGTATGTAATTATTTTTAATATTGGTGGGTGGTGGGTGGTGGGTGTTGGTGGCGACGGGTGATTGGCTCCTCTCTGTCTCTTAGAAAATCTCTTCTATTTTTCATCGGTTTACCGAAATCATTTTTTGAGTTTTTAAACGCACCCTTAGTGCACCAATCTATTGTAACTGATAACATAATTGCATAATCTAAAGGTGGAAGTAATAAAGTTTATGCAGTGAAACTGTAACTCCACAAATACTACTCTCATGTGAATTTTATCCTCTTAAATTGATATATATATATATATATGTATATATATATATATATATATATATATATATATATGCTGCTGCAACAACCACTCTGAGGGAAGAAGCAAAGCAATACAAATTGTGCAAATGAAGGAAATTATAACATGAAAACACACTAAAAGTCTGAGATGAGGTTACTGGGAAGGCTGAGGCATTTCTGTTTGGAGTGCCTTATCAAGCCAGGTCTCTGCATCTTCCATCATCTCTGGGCTAAGTCTCACCATGAGAATGCAAAACTCTGTTTGATTCAAAGCCCCATCGCCATCGAGGTCTCCCTCCTTCACCATGGCTTCCGCATCCTCTTTGCTCATCCCTTCCATTCCCAAGAGGGCAGAGTTCCTCTGAAGACTCTTGGTGGTAATCAACCCGGTGTCCCTGTCGGCCAGCAGGCGGAACCCTCCACACAGCTCGGCCACGAAGGCGTCCACGTCTAGCTTCTCCGCCATCACTGGCAACAAGTCTTGGTATTCAGCGGCTGTGCAGCCCTCCATGTTACCAACTCCTGTGCTCAACTGGTGATATATATATACCACAGACAGGCTTGTAGTTTAGGCTTTGATGGTACAGTTGTGTTGTATATATATTCTTTTGATGGTGCACGTACGGCGGCAGCTGGAGATGCTATATAGATATTGCATTGGGGATTTTTTGATGTAACTATTGTGAGTGGAAAATTTCAAGGAAGTTTCTTAAGGGAATTGGAACATGGTGAGTTCTTGGCATTTTTGAAGACGTCAAGTCTGTTGAGGATTGAGTCATCACAATATTTTCCTTATGCTGCCCGGAATTCTGTCTTTCCATGAAGCTTCCTCTTACATATTTGCTTCAATAATTTTTTTTTTTTTTTTTGAATGCTATTAGCTCTATTACATTGTAGTATCTGTTCATATACTTTCTCAACCAAACACAAAGAGCTAATAACGCCTTCACTAAGGCTCGAACTCACAACCTTCCAAATGGAAGTCCAACCCGAGTACCATTGGACCACATAGTCCTGGTTGCTTCAATAATTTAATTGCTTCTTTTCTTCTTTTATTTTTCTTTCAGTCGTATTTCTACATGATGTGACAAGATAAGAGCGAAGCTTCATTATGAATTATAATTTGTACAAATATTTTTTAAGATTACAGTGTTTGGTTATTTATAATTACCAAAAAAAAAAAAAAAAAAAAAAGTTTAGCCGAAAATCCAAATGGAGAATTTATTCCACAAAACACATCAATTATTCCAAAGCTATCTTCAGAATCTAAACACCTTTGATTTGGTCTTCGTCCTTGTTTGTTATATTATATATTATATATATGGACCCATTAGTGCTGCTTTCATACCAACCTACAGATTTTTTTCAATTTAGGGGGGAATAAAAAAGGAAAATAATTTCCGTATTATCTTTCTGAATAGAAAAGAATGCGGTGATCGTGGATCGAACACGAGACCTTCAGATCTTCAGTCTGACGCTCTCCCAACTGAGCTATCCCCGCAATTCGTTCTTTCTGCGGTTTGAAGCTTCTTTAAATAAACCCGTATTACTATAATTTTGAAATTTAAAAAACAGAATAATTACAGATTTTTTAATTTTTTTTTTTTGAAAAGTTAAACAAAATCATTTCGTGTTATTTAATTACACTGCAAACTTATCTAACTAGGCAAAAAAAAAAAAAAAAAACAATATTAATAATAACATTGTATGTATAACATTGTATGTAGTAGTTGTTCTCACTACAAGGCACCAGTTGGCTATATCATTCTTAGGCCACCTTAGCTTTGTGGCTTGTAGGAGTTGTAGCTAATGCCCCACATTTGGTTCATTTAGTTAATTTGTTGGTCCTTTTAACAACTTTTGCCAGCGACTTACATACCCTCTACATGACTCGGATATCATTCAATATCCATATATATATATATATATATATATATATATATATATATCTACTATACTAATAAGAGCCAAGAGAGTTAGGCCTATAATGGGTAGAAAAAATAACGGTCAAATTTTTTAATAAAATGAATGGCTCAGATTGATCAGATTTTAATTTTTCGTTGAGATTTCTTAATTTATCCTTAATGAATATGATTATCCGTTAAATATTATCTTTTCCGTTAATTTCTGTTAGTTCACCGTTAACTTATTGATTTCAATAAGAAAGGTCTTAGGTTTGAACCTCATCCCATTCAAAATTGGCATAATTAGTACTCTATTTCACTCTTATTAAATTAATATAATAAATAATAATTTAGTAGCTACAACAAAAATAATACATATGCATTTCTTTAATTTAGAATTATGTGTCTATAATGCATTTATTAAAAAAAAAAAATTATTCATTATCAATAAATTAAAGGAATAAGGTCCAAATTGACCCCTGAACGAAACGTCAAAGTGCAATTAGGTCCCTGAACGTAAAAAAAGTGCAATTACTCCCCTCAACACCTCAAATATGTGCAATTTGACCTGATAGCAGGTTAACATCCCATCTAGCAGGTTGCATGTGTGACGTGGATGATGACTTGGCATTTTTTTTTTGGAAAGATGACTTGGCATTTTTTTATTTCCTTCTTTTGTCTTCTTCTTTACAAAACAACTAACTCTAGCAGTTGTAATATTCCACCATCGATATCTTCTCTCAAATTTACAAGCAGGATAAATTTCATGAAAAAATATTCAATTTTACATAGTTATATTAACAACGAACAAGTTAATAGCTTTCACGGGCGTGGTTTGGGAATTTCTGATGCAGGTACACGTGAATGGAATTTCTAATGCAGGTACACGATGAATGGAATTTCTGATGCAGGTTTGGGAATTTTGATGCGTGGTTTGGGAATTTCTATTGAAGCTTTGCCTTAATACACGGTGAATGGAAGAAAAGGAAATAAAAGGAAATTAAAAAAAATGCCAAGTCAGCATACACATCATCATATAACCGGTTGGATGGAATGTTAACCTGCTATTAGGTCAAATTGCACATATTTGAGATGTTGAGGGGGGGTAATTGCACTTCTTTTACGTTCAGGGACCAAATTGCACTTTCATGTTTCGTTCAGGGGCCAATTTGGACCTTATTCCTAAATTCACTACTACACAGCAGGCTTTTAACGTCGGCTAAATAGACCTTTTAACGTCGGCTAAGATACGTAGTTGTTGCGGGCGACGTTGTAAATATTATCTATAACGTCGGCTATTTATATAGCCGACGTTATATATTATTTTTTTAAAAAAAAGAAATAAAGTTTACAACGTCGGCTAATAGCATTTAGCCGACGTTGTATGGTATTTTAAAAAATAATTAAAATACTTACAACGTCGGCTAATAGCATTTAGCCGACGTTGTAGGTATTTTAAAAATAATTTAAAACACCTACCACGTCGGCTATTAGCAATTAGCCGACGTTGTAAGTATTTTAATTATTTTTAAAATACCTACAACGTCGGCTAAATGCTATTAGCCGACGTTGTAAACTTTATTTTTTTTTTTAAATATATTCAACGTCGGCTATTACTTAATAGCCGACGTTGTAAGTGTTTTTTTTTTTTTAATATACAGTTTATTTGTCCATTTATACCCAAAAATCTGCTCAAATCTACTCACAACCACAACCAACCCCATAGATTCATACATCACTGAACACTGTCATCATCTAAACACTAAAATGCATATACATTTACAAAAATTCGAAATAAATCAACAATAAAAACAAATATAATAAAAATAAACCCTAAATTATAAATATATTTATTAAAATTCGAAGAAATTATTAATAATTAAAAAATAATTACCTGGCGATGACGGTGGCCGACGATGTGCGGACGGTGGCGGAAGCAGTCGGAAGAGAGGAAAGCAGGCGGTGGAAGGACGTCGGCGCTGTGGACTGTGGCGGCGGGGAAGGACAGTCGCGACGGTGTCGGGCGTATGAGGATGGACGACGTCGACGGCAAGAAGCGGTGGGTGGACGACGTCGGCGTGGAGGACGGCGGCGGTCTGAGACGGTGAGGCCGGCGGTGGGGTGGGGAGGAGATGGATGGAAGAGAGCGGTGGTGATGGTAGCGTAGATCTGGTAGAACGGTCTCAGATCTGTTCTTTTAAAAAACTTTATAACGTCGGCTAATTCAATTAGCCGACGTTATAAGGTAAAAAAAAAAAATTTAAAAACAAATTAAAAACCATACGACGTCGGCTAGATAGATAGCCGAAAAAAAAAATTTTAAAAACAAATTAAAAACCATACGACGTCGGCTAGATAGATAGCCGACGTCGTATAATATTTATTTATTTTTTTTTTTTTTAGTATATAACGTCGGCTAAACAGACATAGCCGACGTTATATATAAATTATTATTTTTTAAAAAAAAATAATATAACCTATGACGTCGGCTGTATAAATAGCCGACGTCGTAGGTTATATATTTCTTTTGTATTATTATTTTTTGTTTATAACGTCGGCTATTTGGTAATAGCCGACGTTATAAACCTAATAATTTTAAAAAAAAAAATTTAAATATATTTAACGTCGGCTATGTATATAGCCGACGTTAAATACCCGACGTTGTATGTGATTTCTGTAGTAGTGATTAAATAAGAGAAATAATTTCATTAGTTATATTGTATTTATTTTTCTCCAATAAAAAAATTCTTTACATTCAAAATTCAAATTCATCAATTGATTATATTCGCTACATTGTCCTTACAATGTCTTTATTAAAAAAAAAGTCATTATCAATAAATTAATTAAGAGAAATATTTCATTAGTTATATTGTCTTTATTTTTCTCCAATATAAAAATTCTTTACATTCAATGGTTGATGAAAATATATTTGAAAAAATTAGCTGTTTAAATTAACATTTAAAATGACATAATAATAATAATAATAATAATAATAATAATAATAATAATAATAATAATAATAATAATAATAATAATAATAATAATTGTTTTAAAAATAATTTTTAAAAAAAATATAGATGTGTTTTGGGGAAATCATTCTCAAAAATGCTAAGTGAAAATATTGTAAATTGCAATGTTTGTATTTTCAGTGGTTTGGAACAAATTGTTGTTTCAAACTGTTGAATATCCAAAACACTTTCTTTAGCATTTTGATCTTTGGGTTACATCATATTTACCGATCGTCCAATATCTTTGGGCTACATTATAATTAAATTTTTAAAATTTTTACTACATCTAAATTCCTTAAATTAGGAATTTCTTTATCCATAATAATTTATTCAATAATAATGGTTGAACTAAATGAACACTGAGCAAAACACTTAAAGGACTGGTACCGTTGATTCATTCATTGATCTTGTATATATGTGCATTCATTAAATATATTAGAACCCTTTGCAACAAAAATACTTGGTTACTATTTAAAATTTTTTTAGTAACAATTATAATGAATCTCATATATTACATTGTATTCATATACTATAAATTATATATTTAAATAAATAAATTAGACATTAAATTACTTAGGTTGAACTTCTCATATATAATCTTGCATTGTTATACTTTCAAATATTTATTTAATTATAAACATTTGGTAGAAAAAATGACCATCAAATTATTAAATCAAATGAATAGTTCAGATTGTTCAGATTTTAATTTTTCCTTGAGATTTCCTAATTTATCCTTAATTATATGATTATCCGATCCGTAAACTTTTTCATTAAGTAGCGTAAATTCACCATTAGTCTAATTATAATATTAAAGTCTAATATAGAATTATAACTACAACATTAATCTAATTCTAATATTAAAGTCTTAATAGAACTCTAACCACAAATCCTACTGCCGGAATCTCTTCAAATAATATTAGTATAAATTTAATATTTTATGCTTTAATTTTTATTTGCTCTCCTATGTTCCGTATTTGGTTTCAACCATACCCATACAATTATTTTATTGAAATTTATAATCAATCTTGACTATATTATTTTGCATTTGTAAACTTAGAATTACGAATTTAAATACGCAAATTCAACATTCAATTATCTATGCATGAACAATTTCAATATAATCTTGCCTTGATATACTTTAAAATACTTATTTAAGAAAAACATTGGACATTATCCCAATCGCGCAATGCGCGTAAAAAACTAGTATATATATATATATATATATATATATATATATATATATATATATATATATATGTCGTAGCCAATCCCAATGATCGACCGTGGTGGCCAACCCTGGGACGTCATGGTCGGGACCAAGAACTAATACAACCTCCACTTGAGTCCCCTCGGGTACATCCTCCAAGCTTATGCCTAGCCAACCAAACCTCCTAATGCGGCTAACTTCAATGTCCGTCCTCACTCCACACGCCACACTTGAGCTTAAATTTAAAGCTTGAATCAAATCTAATATATCTATTAATTTTTATGTGTATATATGTGGGTTCAATCTATATTAGGATATGCTTTTTATAGGAAAATGTAGTATCACTCAAGTAATAATAATGTCTTATATCCAAGTTGGTAGACTCTACCCATCGTTATGCTGTAGACACGGTTCTATGTTCATAATTACTGAACTATATATTCACAATTATAAAGCTATATATTCATAATTTTTGAACTTCATATTCACAATTATTGAATCTCTGTATTCATAAGTACGGAACTATATGTTCATAATTATGTTCACAACTTTATGTTCATAATTATAGAACTATATGTTCATAATTTTTGAACTATATATTCATAATCATGAACAGTTTTGGAACTGTGTCTACCTTACAATGTGGACATGATTCCACAGCATAACTTGCAAGACTCTACTTCCAAACACATACACTTTTAATTGGCACTAAAGAATAAGAAACAATAAAACACAACAAACGTTCAATGATTGAACTAGATATAATCATAAATACTCTTCATCTAACTCCACAATAATTAGATTAATTTTAATAATTTATTATCACACATAATAAGAAGAAACCTCATTTGTGAAAACACTAAAATGCAGAGGCACACTTCCATAGTTTCCAATCTTCAATCATCATTTTTATATGTAGAGTACTTGAAGTGTCGTTCCACCATTTAATATTCAAAGGGGAAAACCAAGAAAAGCAAAGGGCAAAGTTGGAAACAATATATGAATGTACAAATGAATAGGCAAAATGTACAACATATTACTGCAAATGATTACACAAATACGTTTTTATGCATATATATTAGAACTCTAATAAATAATAATATTCTCTTATATAATTTATTATATATAACCATATAATGTATATATAACGTTGTAATTTATAAACTATATTAATTAATGCTGTAAATATAATATTATTAATTTAATAATATATATAACTTAAAGAAAACTTACAAGAGCAAATTGAGTTAAACCTCTTATTATGCTTGAGCTTCAATAATTGGTTGGACAATAATGTGAGTGGAGTGATCAGATCAGGTTAGGTGGATGACGGATCAAATCACTTTGTTGTTTGACTCTAGTGAAAATAGTGTTGAACGAGCAATAGAGTCTTCAATTGTAACTTTGTTGATAGTAGAAGGAGGTTAGAGTAATTTAGATACTTTTTTTTTTCTTGATTTTTGTTGGGGCAATTAGGAGAGGAGAGAGACAAAAGAGGAAAAAAAGAGAAACAATTGTATCAGGAACAAAAAAAAAAAAAAGTTATTATATTTGTCAATTTATGTATTTATTTTTATTATAATAAATTATAAGTTAAAATTTATTTATTTAATTGTTTTATTATAGTTATTGTTAATCTTTATAACTATTACAAACATGTTCATATGCTGTGATGCTGTTCAGTTTCTTTGGTCAGATTTTCTTGACCTTTTATCTCAGAATCAGGATGCTAATTTTGAAGTTTGGCTTTCCTATATTATTGCTAACTGTGATGAAGGTATAATCTGGAGCTTGTTTGACAAATAATTTACTTATCGACACGAGTAATACCTCAGAATTCTTTTACATTGATGTTAGTTTAATTTTCTGTAATGTGGATGCTTCTTTGTTGGATGATTCTACTACTTTTGGCATGGTGGTTACTTCGTGTTCGGGTGACTTTCTTGCTGTTATCTCGGGCTCTCTCAGACTAGTTTCCGAGCCTTATCTTTCTGAAGTCCTGGCCATTAAAGAAGCCCTTTCTTGACTTAAAGATTAATATTGGGAAAAGCGTGTACCCGATCATATTGTCATCAAGTTTGCCTCCTTTTCAACAACCCTTCCCGTGATTTTTCTTATATTCGGGATAGCCGTTGTCATGAGATTCGTTCATATATCAGCGTATACGCTTGTTCACACTTTAGCTCGAGCAACTCATTTGAATGTTGATTTTTGTTGTTGGTTTGATTACCCCGCATTGTATTCTCTCTTTGATTAATTGATTTGATTTCTTTCAATATATATATATATATATATATATATATATATATATATATAATTGATCATTTTAATTATTTATAATTTATGAATACTGTATTATTAGTATATTTTTTCCATAAATAATAAGAGCTCCAAGTCTAAACTCTATCCAATTATTATGGATGAATTTAAACTTAAACAATGATTCATCCCTGTGCAGTGTGGTGCGGGAAAGAGATATAATCATCGCTCTTCACAGACACCACAGTGTTGACTGATTCTCCCAACAACTCTGGGATGGATAATATGCGAAATGATTCCAATTCCAAGAGCAAGATGAGCCGACAAAAGGCCGACCTGGGCGCCACTTTGCGGAAATCGTGGTACCATTTGAGGTTGTCGGTGCGCCATCCCGCTAGGGTTCCGACGTGGGACGCCATCGTGCTCACCGCCGCTAGCCCCGACCAGGCCCAGCTCTATGAATGGCAGCTCAATCGAGCCAAGCGAATGGGGCGCATAGCTCACTCCACTGTCACCTTAGCCGTGCCCGATCCTCACGGTCACCGTATCGGCTCCGGCGCTGCTACTCTCCACGCCATTTTCGCCCTCGCCAATCACTATCAACGGGTACTTTTATCTTCTTTTATTTATTTACACCACTTTTAAGGTTATAGTGTTTGTATTTCACTGTCAATCTCTAATTTTTAGTCTAAATTCAAGCTAGCTTTTGGCTCTTATATTTAGTGATGATGAATTTGAAATTCTATACATAATTCAGTTGTGAAAGTTTCTTTTATAACAATGAATTTTCAGAAACTATTGATGGATGGATATATGTATAATGTTGGTTGCTATAAATTCGTGGTACTCAATGTTCCTTTTTGTAAGCTAACCTCTCCATAAAAGAAGGAAAACAAAGGAAATTATAGTTAGCTGAACCATGATATTTGTTTCCTGATGACCCATAACAGAGTTGAATGAAGAAATATAGTCAATGTAGCTGACCCCAACTATACTGGGATTAGGCTTTTGATTGGTTCAGTTGAGTATTTCTAGTGGTTGAACAATATCAATTATCAAATGCCAGCCTCTCAACTGTTTTGGTTACTAGCTTTGATGGGATATTCTTTTCTGAACTGAGCAGGAAGCAGATGCAAGCCACTTGAACTCTGAATCCTTTTCCCAATTCAACAGATCTGAGGAGGGTGACGATCCTCCATTTTCTTTAGCTGACTTGATTGCCAAGAGACATATCCTACTACTTCATGCTGGTGGTGACTCTAAAAGGGTACCATGGGCTAATCCTATGGGCAAAGTGTTTCTGCCGCTGCCATATTTGGCGTCAGACGACAGCGATGGGCCAGTGCCCCTTCTTTTTGATCACATACTTGCAATTGCTTCTTGTGCTAGACAAGCTTTCAAAAATGAAGGTTATTTTTTCTAACTATTGACTATTATAGGTCATAGATTGCTTTATTTCCGCATGATAAGTAGAAATTCCATAATTTCTTCAGTGATTATAAATTTTACTTAATAGATTCTTTTTCTTTGATCCATATTTTATTGACGTGTGAATAAGTGCAGTATGAGACATAAAAATATAAAACCATTTATATTCAAGTGTTAAACAGATTTCATATTTATGCACAGGTGGTATACTTACAATGACTGGTGATGTTCTTCCTTGTTTTGATGCATCCAGTTTGGTTCTTCCTGACGATGCTTCCTGCATTGTCACGGTTCCTATTACTCTTGACATTGCTTCCAATCATGGTGTCATTGTGGCATCAAAGACTGGGATTTCTAATGAGAAAGTTTCTGTTAACGTAGTGGAGAATCTGCTTCAGAAACCCTGTGTAGAAGAGCTTATTAAATATCAGGCTATTCTTGATGATGGTAGAGCACTGCTTGATACAGGAATAATTGCGGTTAGAGGTAAAGCCTGGGTGGATCTTGTAAACCTTGCCTGTTCCTGTGAACCAATGATTTCTGAACTTCTGGAAAGAAAAACAGAGGCAAGTCATCAATTTTATTCATGCGAAAGCTATTGTATCTGTGGATGTTTTAGCATGTCTATCTATGAATTTGTGAACTTGTCTATTTAAGTCGGTTAAATTCCCAACTACATTTGATTGACCAGTATTATGCCTTCATTTCTCTAACTATAGATGTTCATTTTTTAAGATGTACATAAGAAATCTTTTCATTCTGTAGTCTGTATCTGGATTCACTATTTGTATTTTTCTGGGACATGAACTCTTCAGGTCAAACATTTTTTGCTCTATGTATCTTGTGCAGATGAGTTTATATGAAGACCTTGTAGCAGCCTGGGTACCCGCAAAGCATGATTGGTTACGACCACGGGCTTTGGGTAGTGAACTTGTACAAAGATTGGGGAAACACAAGATGTTCAGCTATTGTGCTTGTACGTTGAACATAGTTGAATATGCGATGATGTTAGTAGTGTCATAAGTAGTTACGAGGTTTCCTTTGTCATTGTCAATGTCATTCTGATTTTCACTATTATTTCAGGTCCATTTCGATCTAGATAAACCTTTATCACATTTGTACGATATTCTATGTCTAGTGAACATTAAAACATCGCTTCTATCCATCTATCTTTGATGCAGATGATCTCTTATTCCTGCACTTTGGCACCTCAAGTGAAGTGTTGGACCATATGAGTGAAACTGGTTCTGGACTTGTTGGTCGAAGGCACCTGTGTTCCATTCCAGCAACCACTGTCTCTGACATTGCTGCCTCAGCTATTATTCTATCAAGTAAAATAGAACCAGGAGTCTCTATTGGAGAGGACTCTCTCATATATGATTCCTCCATTTCAGGTGGTATACAGATTGGTTCTCTGTGTATAGTTGTGGGAGTTAATGTGCCAGTGGCTAACAATATGAAGGCACAAGAATCATTCAGCTTTATGCTTCCAGACCGTCATTGCCTTTGGGAAGTTCCTTTGGTAGGGTGCTCAGAACGGGTAATTGTGTACTGTGGTCTCCATGATAACCCAAAAAGTCTACTCTCCAAGGATGGGACCTTCTGTGGGAAACCCTGGAGGAAGGTATTAGATGACTTAGGCATTCAAGAGACTGATCTATGGAGCTCAGATGGATCTCCTGAAAAATGCCTTTGGAATGCTAAAATATTCCCTATTCTTCCGTACTTTGATATGCTCACTCTGGCAAAATGGCTAACGGGATTGGACAATCAACAGAATGAAGCCTTGTTTTCTCTATGGAAGAAGTCACGCCGCCTGAGTTTGGAGGAGTTGCATAAATCAATTGATTTTCCACAGATGTGTTCAGGTTCGAGTAATCATCAAGCAGATCTAGCTGCTGGAATTGTTAATGCATGCATTAATATTGGGCTGCTTGGGAGGAATATATCTCAATTGTGTGAAGATATACTGCAGAAAGAAGCTTCCAGAGTTGAGATTTGTGAAGGTTTTCTTTCGGTATGTCCTAAACTGCACACTCGACATTCTCAACTCCTACCTAAAAGCAGGGCATATCAAGTGCATGTTGATCTTCTAAGAGCATGCGGCAAAGAGAAGATGGCAAGTGAATTGGAGCAGAAAGTCTGGGCCGCAGTTGCTGATGAAACTGCTTCAGCCGTGAGATATGGATTCAGAGGTACTGAAGAACTTTTCACCCATTTTTACCATACAAATCATCGTGGTGATTGGGATTGCAAACCTTTAGGGCTATTTAGTGATTGTCATGATTCTTGTACATGCAAATGTTTGCTTATTGTTAATTGACATGTTTTTTTCCCTCTAAAATCAGAGAAACTCTTGGAGTCCAGTTCACTGTCTAATGTTGCTTATCTTAACAATAATGTGGATGGTGGTGCGAAGCAATCTTTCTTCTCTAGAATGGTGAAGATTGAGCTACCTGTTCGGGTGGATTTTGTTGGAGGTTGGAGTGATACTCCTCCTTGGAGTCTAGAGCGTGCTGGGTATGTCTTGAATATGGCGATAACATTGGGAGGTTCTCTTCCTATAGGTACAACCATTGAGACAAAAAAGGGGACTGGAGTACTCATCATGGATGATATAGGAAACCAGTTATATATTGAGGATCTCTCCACAATTGCACCTCCATTTAAAAGTGACGATCCATTTCGTCTTGTCAAATGTGCATTGCTGGTTACCAATGTCATTAACGATAATGTCCTTCAATCAATGGGCTTGGAAATCAGGACCTGGGCCAATGTTCCACGTGGTAGTGGCTTGGGAACTTCTAGCATCTTAGCAGCAGCAGTTATCAAAGCAATTTTACAGTTGATTAATGGAGACGAAAGCAATGAAAATGTTACAAGACTTGTTTTGGTATTAGAACAGCTGATGGGCACGGGAGGTGGCTGGCAGGACCAGATTGGTGGTCTATACCCTGGGATAAAGTTTACCACAAGTTTCCCTGGAATCCCATTGCGGCTTCAAGTTCTTCCCCTCTTGACTTCCCCTCTGTTGATTGAAGAGTTGCAACAACGGCTCCTTGTTGTATTCACTGGACAAGTAAGCCAACTCTAAGCCTCCTTAAGATTCAAATTTGCTAGTAGTGTAACCAGCTTGGTTGGCGTGAGTGGCCGTGCACTATCATCCCTTAAGAGAGGTCAGGAGTTCAAACCTCCTCTCGTATGGAAAAACCAATCTGGCCAGCACTTTGCCCCTTAATTGGGCCGGCCCGGTGCGAATGAGGATTAGTCTGAGTATGGTACGGGCTTAAAGGTGCCTCCTACAGTTAGGGCCTGTTCAGGACACCTCATGGTCTAACCAAAAATTTGCTAGTAGTGTTGAATCCCCTTAATTGCTGCCAGCGTACACTTCCTTTGCAGGTCCGGCTTGCTCACCGAGTCCTACAAAAGGTGGTGACTCGCTATCTCCAGCGGGATAATCTTCTCGTGTCAAGCATCAAGCGACTTACAGAACTGGCAAAGCTCGGGAGGGAAGCTCTAATGAATCGCGATATTGATGAACTAGGGGAGATAATGCTAGAGGCTTGGAGGCTGCATCAGGAACTCGATCCTTATTGCAGCAATGAGTTTGTTGACAAGCTCTTTGTGTTTTGCCATCGCTTTTGCTGTGGCTACAAGCTCGTGGGCGCTGGTGGTGGGGGTTTTGCATTATTATTGGCTAAAAACCGCGAATCTGCCGAGGAGCTGAGGCATTTACTCAAAGAGAAATCTGAGTTTGATGTCCAAGTATACAATTGGCAAATCTTGCAAAGCTAGCTGGAAGATGATATTATTTGATTCAGCCAGGTATTGGTGTAATGATGTATAGAACCATAGCCGCAGGTCGACAAGAAAATTACAATTCAAAAGGTTTATTACTTCGATTTTTTTATTAAATATTACGGAGTAATTAATAAAAAAAACATTTTAACTGGTTATTAGTAGTGAGGTGAAATACATGTAGCAAGAACGTATATGATGGTAAACGTGTAATTTTTTTTTTTATTTGAAAGCATGGTAAACGTGTAATTAGTACAAGTATATTGTAAAATTGTCAACCAAATTCATATTACCAATTAAAAATATTTTTTTTCTATTATAAATTAGTATTTAATCATGACTATTTTGGACAAATGATTATTTTAAGTTAAATTTGCATATTTAGGGATGAAATTGAGTAAGTTTGGAAGTTGGAGACCAAAGTGGTGAAATTTTAATAATGGACCAAATTGAGTATTAACTCTTAAATAGATGTGCTAAATATTATTTATGTTAATTGATAGCATGGGTGAATAAAAATCACTAGGCGAGCGTCCGAAAGGCCCCTAGGCGTTCTTGTATTTTTTTTAAATTTTTTTTTAAGATTTGATAATTATAAACTATTTAATACTTTAATAGTTAATAATAAAATATTAAATATTAACTTAAAAAATATCTAGGGTTTGAGCTTTAAAGTTATTTCGCTCAAAATGACGTCGTTTTGAATGAATAAATCTATTTAAATAATAATAAAAAAAGTAAATAATAGCTAATTGGCCAACACTTAGCCTAATCAGATAGACGCCTAGACCACCGATTATGCTGATACGCAAGGCGATGCCGATTAATCAGAGTTTAGGCACAATTTTTGCGACACTGATTGATAGAGGTAAAAGTGGAAAAAAAAATAATAATTAGAACAATGTCTGAAAATAAGGTAAAATAAAATTTTATTTTAAATTGAATGTCTTTTTTATTTACATAAGAGTTAATTACCAAAATGGTCCCTTGACTATTGTGAAATTACCAATTTGATCATCGACTATTTTTTTTACTCAATAAAGTCCTCAACTTTGTAAATGTTAACCAATATGGTCCTCCATTAAGTTTGAGATCTAACATCAGTTAAAGTCGAGGGTAATAAAGGAATTTCACCCCTCTCTCCCCTACTCTCCTCCTTACCGTCACATTTTAGTAACTTCTTAACTTTTTTTTTTTTTTTTTAAATTTTTGTCCTTATTCTTTTAAAGAAATGACATCCTTTACCCATCTCAATTAAAATTCTTTAATAATAATAAAAATAATAATAATAATAATAATAATAATAATAATAATAATAATTATTATTATTATTATTATTATTATTATTATTATTATTATTATTATTATTATTATTATTATTATTATTATTATTATTAGGAGATTCGCAACAATATTGCTACTTCGTTATGTGATGCTATCATGATTATGCTAATAGTTTTATTTCAAAATGTTAATTTTTTTAAAGACAAAATGTTAAATTTTAATATGTAAACAAATAAATTTAAATTTTATAAAGATGTCATTTTTTGTCTTTTTACATTTTTTTGCTTACCCAAAAGTTAATTTTACCAAACATTTTCAAGCATAACAACTAACTTAACAGCTCTTCAGTTTTCAGTTCTTAGCTTATAGCTTTTCAGCTACCTTTTCAGCTAGGTTGTCAAATATAGCCATAGTCTACTTTATACAATGAGTTAAAAATAAATCATATGAAATATTAAATCTAAATATTTTAATATTTAGGGAAAATGGTCAAATAGGCCTCGAACTTTACTTGAAAATCAATTAAGTCCTCAAATTTTTTAAAGTTGCAATTAGGTACTTAAACATGTCAATTTAGTTTATCAAAACCCAATTACCTGTTAGTAACCTGTAATATCAGGTCACCAAAATTCTGACGGTTGTCCAACAATAAAATTGACAACGGAGACCAAGACTTCACCGGAGAAGGCGTGGCCATCTCCGACGACTGGAGATGGCGACTAACTAGTTGCCATCTCCGTCGACGGAGAAGGCGATCACTTTGGTCGCCATCACTGTCAACTGGAGATGGCAACCAAACTGGCTGCCATCTCCCAGGGACAGAGAAGGCGATTAGTTTGGTTGCCTTCTCCGTCCCGTTAGTCGCCATCTCCGTCAACTAGAGATGGCGATCAAACTGACCGCCATCTCCCAATGACGGAGAAGGCGACAAGTTTGGTTGCCTTCTTCGTCCCTTGGAGAGGGTGACTAACCAGTCGCCATCTCCATTGACGGAGAAGGAGATCATTTTGGTCGCTATCTTCAGTCGTCGGAGATGGCTACGCTTTCTCCGGCGACGCCTTGATCTCCATCGTCAAATTTATTGACGGACAATTGCCGGAATTTTAGTAACCTGGTATTACATTCACTAACAAGTAATTGGGTCTTGATGAACTAAATTGACATATTTATGTACCTAATTACAACTTTAAAAAGTTTGAGCGTCTAATTCATTTTTTTTTTATGTAAAGTTTAAGGGTCTATTTGACTATTTTTCCCTAATATTTATATGCTTTACCATTATACTAGTTTTTTACGCACATTGCGCGATTGGGATAATGCCCAATGTTTTTTTTTTTTTTTTTAAATAAGTATTTTAAAGTATATCAAGGCAAGATTATATTGGAATTGTTCATGCATAGATAATTGAATATTGAATTTGCGTATTTAAATATGTAATTCTAAGTTTACAAATGCAAGATAATATAGTTAAGATTGATTATAATTGTCAATAAAATAATAATGTCGAATTTGTTTATTTAAATATGTAACTCATAATATACAAATACAATGTAATATAGGAGATTCATTATAATTGCTACTATTTTTTTTTTTTTTAAATAGTAACCAAGTATTTTTTGTTGCAAAGAGTTGTAATATATTTAATGAATGCACATATATACAAGATTAATGAATGAATCAACGGTACCAGTCCTTTAGGTGTTTTGCTTAGTGTTCATTTAGTTCAACCATTATTGTTGAATAAATTATTATGGATAAAGAAATTTCTAATTTAAAGAATTTAGATGTAGTAAAATTTAATTTTTTTAAATTATAATGTAACCCAAAGATATTGGACGATTGGTAAATATGATGTAACCCAACGATCAAAATGCTAAAAAAAGTGTATGGTTATTCAACAGTTTGAAGCAATAATTTGTTCCAAATCACTGAAAATACAAACATTGCAATTTACAATATTTTCACTTAGCCTTTTTTAGAATGATTTTTCCAAAACACCTCTATATTTAAAAAAAAAAAAAAAAAAAGTTTACTGTAGAGCCATTTCGACTCCTTGAATAACAAGAGCCAGTTTCGCTGGCTCACTGCTTGCCCATAAATGGATGGACAAGCTTACTTTTTAAATTGGAGCCTCAAGGCTCCCATGCCACTTTTTTCACCGATATGGGAAAAGTGACAAAACGAAGGGGAGCCGAACGTTTGGCTCCCCATATGTTTTATTTGTTTTATTTTTTTCTTTTATTAAATTATTATTCTTTTTAAATTTTTTAAAACTATTATTATTATTATTATTATTATTATTATTATTATTATTATTATTATTATTATTATTATTATTATTATATGTAAACCCTTATGTCATTTTACATGTTAATCTAAACAGTTAATTTTTTCAAATATCTTTTTACCAACCGTTGATATAATTCGCTGGTCAAATCCGCTAATATAATCCGTTAACGCTAACCGCTAACTGCGGGTTGTCGAACAAGGACATTGCAAGTTAGTTTCTCACTTCAATTTGTTGTGTGACTTGAATACTCTCTTTGTCAATAAATCCCCCAAGTAGTTAATATGATTGGCTTAATTTTATTTTTAAAAGAATTATTATTATTATTATTATTATTATTATTATTATTATTATTATTATTATTATTATTATTATTATTATTATTATTATTATTATGATGATGTATACCCTTAGGTCATTTTACATCTAAACAGCTAATTTTTTCAAATATCTTTTTACCAACCGTCGATATAATTCGTTGGTCAAATTCGCTAATATAATCCGCTAACGCTAACCGTTAATTGCTGATTGTTAAACAAGGACATTGCGAGATAGTTCTCATTTCAATTTGTTGTGTGATTTGAATACTCTCTTTGTCAACAAATCCTCAAGTAGTTAATATGATTGGCTTTATTATTATTATTATTATTATTAATTTTTTCATGGTATTAATAAAGTACTTGATAAATAAATATATAGCATTATTTTGTATTATAACTTTGATATTTAATTAAAAAATAGTGCACAAAAAGGATAATAGACAATGTAGTGAATATAATCAATTGATGAATTTGAATGTAAAGAATTTTTACATTGGAGAAATATATTGACAATATAACTAATAAAATTATTTCTCTTAATTAATTTATTGATAATGAATAATTTTTTTTTAATATAGACATTGTAGGGACAATGTAGCGAATATAATCAATTGATGAATTTGAATGTAAAGAATTTTTATATTGGAGAAAAATAAATACAATATAACTAATGAAATTATTTTTCTTATTTAATTTATTAATAATGAATGAATAATTTTTTTTTGAATAAAGACATTGTAGACACATAATTCTAAATTAAAGAAATACATATGTATTATTTTTTGTTGTAGCTACTAAATTATTATTTAATTTAATAAGAGTAAAATAGAGTAATAATTATGTCAATTTTGATTGGGATGGGGTTCGAACCTAAGATTTCTTATTGAAATCAATGAGTAAGTTAACAGTGAACTAACAAAAATTAACGGAAAAGATAATATTTAACGGAAAAGTTAATGAATAATCATATTCATTAAGGATAAATTAGAAAATCTTAAAAAAAAATTTAAATCTGATCAATCGTGAGTCATTATTTAATTAAAAAATTTGACAGCCATTTTTCTACTCATTATAGACCTAACTCTCTTGGGCTCTTATTAGTATATACTAGTTTTTTATGCGCATTACACGATTGGGATAATGCCCAATGTTTTTCTTAAATAAGTATTTTAAAGTATATCAAGGCAAGATTATATTGGAATTGTTCATGCATAGATAATTGAATGTTGAATTTGTGTATTTAAATTGGTAATTCTAAGTTTACAAATGCAAGATAATATAGTCAAGATTGATTATAATTATCAATAAAATAATTGTATGGATATGGTTGAAACCAAATACGGAACATAAGGGAGAGCAAATAAAAATTAAAGCATAAAATATTAAATACAGTATATACTAATATTGTTTGAGGAGATTCCGGCAGTAGGATTTGTGGTTAAAGTTCTATTAAGACTTTAATATTATAATTAGATTAATGTTGTAGTTATAATTCTATATTAGACTTTAATATTAGAAGGAATAAGGGTCAAATAGGCCATCTAACTACACACCAAAATGCAATTAGGCCACCAAACTCAAAAATGCTACAATTAGGTCCTTGAACTACACAAATTCATGCAATTTCACCAAAAATAACTTGTTTACCTGTTGTGTCGGTTACAGAATTAAAAATAATTTTTAAACTTTTATTTTAATAATTTTAAATAATAAATTATTTAAAAAAAAAAAAAAACTACCGGAGACTCCTGGCTGGGCGGAGACAAAGGGAGCCCTTCGTCTCAAGCCAACCATTGAGACGAATAGTTTTCCATGGCTGACCGGAGATCCCTCCGTCTCCGGCTGTTTGTTTGTATTTTTTTTTAAATTTTAAAATAAATTTTTATTTAAAATTATTAAAATAAAAGTTAAAAAATTATTTTATAATTTGGTAACCGACACGCGTATCAACAGGTAAACAAGTCATTTTTGGTGAAATTGCATGAATTTGTGTGGTTCAGGGACCTAATTGTAGCTTTTTTGAGTTGGGTGGCCTAATTGCATGTTGGTGTGCAGTTGGATGACATATTTGACCCTTATTCCATATTAGAATTAGACTAACGGTGAATTAACGGTACTTAAAGGAAAAGTTCACGGATCGGATAATAATCATATAATTAAGGATAAATTAGGAACTCTCAAGGAAAAATTAAAATCTGAACCATCTGAGCTATTCATTTGATTTAATAATTTGACGATCATTTTTTCTACTCAATGTTTATAATTAAACAAATATTTGAAAGTATATTAATGCAAGATTATATATGAGAAGTTCAACATAAGTAATTTAATGTCTAATTTGTTTATTTAAATATGTAATTCATGGTATATGAATACAATGTAATATAGGAGATTCATTATAATTGTTACTAAAAAATTTTTAAATAGTAATCAAGTATTTTTTGTTGCAAAGGGTTCTAATATATTTAATGAATATACATATATACAAGATCAACGAATGATTCAACGGTACCAGTCTTGCTCAGTATTCATTTAGTTCAACCATTATTGTTGAATAAATTATTATGGATAAAGAAATTCCTAATTTAAGGAATTTAGATGTAGTAAAAATTAAAAAATATTAATTATAATGTAACCCAAAGATATTGGACGATTGACAAATATGATGTAACTCAAAGATCAAAATACTAAAGAAAGTGTTTTGGTTATTCAACAGTTTGAAGCAACAATTTGTTCCAAACCACTGAAAATACAAACATTGCAATTTACAATATTTTCACTTAGCATTTTTTAGAATGATTTCCTCAAAACACATCTATATTTTTTAAAAAATTATTATTAAAAAAATTATTATTATTATTATTGATAGTACTAATTCACCTGGATGTCGGTTGTATGTACTAAATGTATATATATGTAGAAGAATATAGAAGAAAAAGAAGCAAGAACACAAGAAAATAGCTCAAATCCCTCTTTTATTCCATGTTGTTCTCCCTTTGTTTTGTATATGAAGAGAGAAGGAAGAGAGAAATAGTGTAGAGAGAAGGAGTCCAAAGATGGCCAAACATCCCCCCCCCCCCCCCCCCCCCCCCGCCAAAAGGGCTTAAAGGCCCTTTTATAGGCCTAAGGTGGCGGGTTTGACCCATCTAGGGTTTGACCCGTCACCTTTGACCCCGACCTGTATGCCAAAACTCGAACCGCGAGATCCCGACCTGACTGTACACGGACTCGGGGTATATAACTTATCAATTATTATTATTATTATTATTATTATTATTATTATTATTATTATTATACCTTTAGCTAATTTTAAATGTTAATTTAAACAGCTAATTTTTTAAAAATATCTTTTTACCAACCGTTGATATAATTCGCTGGTCAAATCCTCTAATATAATCCGCTAACTGCTGTTGTCAAACAAGGACATTGCGAGGTAGTTTCTCACTTCAATTTGTTGTTTGATTTGAATACTCTCTTTGTCAACAAATCCCTCAAGTAGTTAATATGATTGACTTTATTAATTTAAAATTTTTAATTTTTTTCATGGTAGTAATAAAATACTTGGTAAATAAATATATATCATTATTTTGTATTATAACTTTGATATTTAATTAAAAAATAGTGCACAAAAAAAGATAATAGACAATGTAGTGAATATAATCAATTGATGAATTTGAATGTAAAGAATTTTTACATTGGAGAAAAATAAAGACAATATAACTAATGAAATTATTTCTCTTAATTAATTTATTGATAATGAATAATTTTTTTTTAAATAAAGACATTGTAGAGACAATGTAGCGAATATAATCAATTGATTAATTTAAATTTTGAATGTAAAGAATCTTTATATTGGAGAAAAATAAAGACAATATAACTAATGAAATTATTTCTCTTATTTAATTTATTGATAATGAATAACTTTTTTGAATAAAGACATTGTAGACACATAATTCTAAATTAAAGAAATGCATATGTATTATTTTTTGTTATAGCTACTAAATTATTATTTTACTATACTAATAAGAGTAAAATAGAGTACTAATTATGCCAACTTTGATTGGGATGGAGTTCGAACCTAAGACCTTTCTTATTAAAATCAATGAGTAAGTTAACGGTGAACTAACGAAAAAAATAATATTTAACGGAAAAGTTAACGGATAATCATATTCATTAAGGATAAATTAGGAAATCTCAAGGAAAAATTAAAATCTGATCAATCTGAACCATTCATTTGATTAAAAAAATTGACCGCCATTTTTTCTACCCAATATAGGCCTAACTCTCTTGGACTCTTATTAGTATATATATATATATATATATATATATATATATATATATATATATATATATATATATATATATAGTAGATAGTAGATAGATATAGATTATTTATTTAACAATATTTAAAGATTTAAAATTTATAAATAATTAAGCTTCAATATAAAATATTAAATTTTTTTTTTTTGAGAAATTCACTCTAAAATAATTAGAATCGCCCAAAAATCGTCAAACTCACCACCCATTAATGATTTACCTGTAAAAGGAAAAATTGTTTTAATTTATATTTTTGCTGGAAATATCTGGAGCAGCTAATTTAAGAAGTTTTACATATTTTGCTCTTCCTGTTCTTTTAGAAAACCCTATTGAATTAAATTTGACAGTATATGATCCATCGATTGATTGAGGTGCGAGAAAAACGATGGCGAATTTGTACGTGAAGGCGGTGCCGCCGGCGGATATGAACCGGAACACCGAGTGGTTTACGTACCCCGGTGTGTGGACCACCTACATACTCATCCTCTTCTTCTCCTGGCTCGTCGTTCTCTCCGTCTTCGGCTGCACCCCCGGCACGGCTTGGACCATAGTCAATCTCTCCCACTTCGCCGTACGCTCCAATTTTTCCATTATTTTATTATCTCTCCCTATAATTTTCATCTTCCGGTTGGGCTCGATTTGATTATGCCTTTGAATTTCCTTGATTAGTTTTGATTTGTAGTGCTGTGGTTTCGAATTTTCTTTTTGAAATCGTGCTATTATTAGGGTTCTGCAGCTCCGCCTTCCACCAAAACCAGGGGGAGGAAGAATGCTCAATTTTTTTTTCTCTCTCTCTCTCCGTGTGGGTTCCCTTTCCCCAATTGGATGGATGTTGTTTTGAATCAAAAGGATTTTGCTTTTACATTTCTGGGATGATTAATGGCTTAGTAAGCAATGTAGAAGATGGGTTAAGACATGAGGTTGTGGTTATTGCTCAGTTTTGTATCTTTTGCAGTAATATATATAAAATGTTATGCTTGTGTGAATAGCCTATCTGCTATGTTAACTTTTCATTGCATCTGTATTTGAATTGATATATTACATTTTATTATTGCCGGTATTCTTGTGATATGTTCTGTCTGTTTCTAGCATATCTCTTAGTTAAAGTTCGAATTCATACTATTTGTTAATTGATGCCTTCAATAGAAACTGCTTCTGAACTCTTCGTTGTTTTGCCTATTTGCACTTGCCAAGTTAAGATATCTATTAACATGCCCCAATTAGTGTTTCTTCTATTCTTAATTACACATGTTTTAATTGTATAACATGTAACTTTTATTCTTTTTTCTTGTTCAAATAAGTGTATAACATGCAACTTAAATTGTTAGAGAATTATGTTAGACTGGTTCAAATCATGTTGTTGTACTTGTAGGCAGAATGGGCTTATCAGTTGGGTGCAATTTCATTATATGCTTAATTTATATGAGGGCTTCAATTAATCTAAAATAATTTGCTTCCCTGTTTAGATCACTTATCATTTCTTTCATTGGAAGAAAGGAACCCCATTTGCTGATGACCAGGGAATGTACAATCGGTTGACTTGGTGGGAGCAAATAGACCATGGCAAGCAACTCACTCGCAATAGAAAATTCCTAACAGTTGTGCCTGTGGTTTTGTAAGTTCTCTCTGCTCGTTCTTGGGCACACACATCACTTTCAGTCACATCATTCTATTATTTTTTGTGTTTATTTGACACTTACCCCCACCCCCTTCTCTTTCTTCTCCCTTCAAAAAAAAAAAATTGTGATAATTTTTGCTTTCTATTCTTTGGGCATCCCACATTTCATTTCTGTCTTGATGCAAGATCCGGGTAGTTAACTAGTAAAATGATATTATGGCTCATCAGTGGCGCTTGTTCCATATGCAGGTACTTGATAGCCTCACATACAACTGATTACGAACATCCAATGCTTTTCTTCAATACACTTGCGGTACTAGTTTTAGTGATTGCGAAGTTCCCCAATATGCACAAAGTCCGAATCTTTGGAATCAATGGGGATCAGTGAGTTGGTTCCTCTGAAATCTTTTAAATATATGTAAGGTTCTCATCCTTGCTCTGTTCTGCAAAAAAAAAAAAAAAAAAAAAAAAAAAAAAAAAAAAAAAAGGTAATGTATCTGTATAGACGCCAGAAGTGGGAAGGTTATCTACTTGTGTAGTGATTTTGCACCTAATTCTTGTTTATGAGTGTTTCTCTATGTACTGAAATGATAGATGTATGAACTTTCTGTTGTACAGTAAAAATAATGTGTATGTTAATAATCAAACTGTTTTTATTCACATCTTAAAGATATTGGCACATCCATGTTACTATGTTTTGTAGCCTAAATACAGTTTATGATTGGAGTTGTTTGTGTTCCTTTGGCATTTGAAGCTCTGAGTTTCTTCTGAGATGGATTTGTTGATTCTGTTCTTAGAGTTCCCATTTTTATGAACTGCTTTTTCTATTATTATTATTTTTGCAGAGAATTCCTATTTGAATTAGGAAAGAGTAAATTTTCTATAAGTGGGGTCAAAAATAGAGTATTACTCATAAACATGTATAAAGGTTCACTGCACTGTTAAATTTCTGATTTTTACTTGGGGGAGAAGGAAAAACAAAATTAAATAAATAAGATATAATGTGTATGAAGCTTCTTTTGTCTTGTTTTGTGAATTGTTCTGAATAAGTTAAATTGTGGGGTTGAGTGTTAGTTGAAATTAGTTATTTTAGGTGTACCTAAACAAAATTATGTGTCAAATGATTTAATTTGTCAAGTGCTGTAATTTGGCATATTTTGCATTGTCCCATCAGCACTTCAAAATTTATGTTTTCTACGTCTATTATTGGTAAAAGAAAATTTCAAATCTTGCTACAATTATAATTACACAACCAAAGACCTTGTGGTCACGCTAATACTAAAAAAATAATAATAATTACAGTCAAACCTTTAAATTTTGTAATTTGGAATATTAGTTTAGTTTAATCAATTTCTCAACCCCCACTCATTTATGTTATCCAAATTTGAAAAGAAAAATAGCCAAATAAGTTACTGACATGAAGATGTAATTAAATTGTTTAATTTATAAAAATTACAATTTGTTGTGTTTTACCTCTCAAACAATATCGAACTATTCTCATTAATCACTAATCGTGTCTATATATCTATATCTCCAAAACGAGATAATATCGTGTCTATATATCTATATCTTCAAAACGAGATAACCGTATATAAAATATATATATCAGAGAAAGTGGTTATATTTACAACACAATTAACTCTCTTAATAAACCAAATTCATGTGCAGAGTGCAATATATTGGCATATTTGACCTTTTTTCAATTTAAAAGTTTCCCTTCTCAATTGAGTGACCTAAATCCTAAAAATAGAAATTACATAAGACGGTATAATGAATAAATAATTTATATTGAGAATATTAGTTGTTTTTCTATGTTCAATTTTAAATTAGACTAGTGTAATGTGTTGTGTTGTGTGTGTATATATAAAGTTTTTAAAATTTCAGAAAAACAACCACTTGTTTATTTATTCTCGAGAGAAGGGTTATATTAGGCTCTTAAACTTTTAATGAATGCAATTAAATCCTTAAACATATTATTTTAGAATATTGAGGCACAAATACCGATTAGAAACCTATAATTACATTGTCATTATATCATTAGTTCAAGGAAATGTTGATCATGATGTTAGGTTTTTTATCATCTCTTCAGGTCATTATTTATTTCTCTACTAGTTTTAATGAGTGGTAAATTTTACTCAAGCTAAGATCCCTAAATAAATTATACTAATAATTGTCCTGTGCGATGCACAAACTATTATTAATTTAACAAATTTACTAATTAAATTTTTGACATCCTCTGAATTAGTAAACAAAGTAATGGTTGTGGAAACATAAAAACGTACTTGAGTTCTTGAGCTCAGAATTAGTTTGATTAAAAATTAAGTATAACTATACAATGTAATATTTAATATTTTTAAAAGTTTAATTATGCTATTATTATGTTGATTTTAAAGCTTATTGTTACTTGTATTATTATTTGAATTTGAATTTTTTTATAAAGGAATTTGAATTTGAAATAACTACTTTAGTTATATAACTAACGTATTTAAATAAAACTTGTAAATAAAATAACAGGCGATATTTGCCGAAAATCTCCACAAAAAACATATTCATTTGAAAAAGATTTTTTATGTAAGAACTATATTTATTTTATATCTTTTTTGCAATCATATTTATTTTATATCTAATTTCTCCTCTTTATATATGTGGAGTCAAATTAACTATAATTGCGGTTTAAATGAATATATACACAAATTATATTAAATATAAAACTTTACCAATAAATTTGAACACAATAATTTTTTTTTCCATACTTCATTATGCTTTAATATATATAGAGATAGAGATAGAGCTATAATAATAAAATATAATTTATAAAATATAAATACACATAATAACTTCAAAAAAAATATGTATAAATACATCTACCCACACAATTAATGCATTCATACTTGCTAATCTTGTTTCTATCAAAATGCATTCACACTTTGAAGGAAAAATTTTGTGACTAGATTCTGTTTTATTATATATAAAGATTATAGGATTAATTTCAACTTTTATATCTAAAATATATAAAAATGGTTAAATTAATTTTAAAGTATAAGTGTGGTTGAGTCAATGACATGTACCGTGGGAATACAATAGTCACTTAAGTATATAATTAGGAATGACATTGACTTATTGATGTATATTTTAAGAGAAAAAACAATAAAGAGTTAGGTAGTTGTTAGTGTTTCATTTGTTTATAAAGAGTAAGTATGTGTATGGTATTTGGTTGGTAAGCTAAGCTTTTGATATATTCTGAAATTTCAGAGTAGGACAAAGTCTTTAGGTGATGATTTTTCCGAGTTTTTTGCACTTTTAGTCCCACGACTATAGTGGCACTGGCAGAATTGATCCACGACTTTTGAACCTTGTAATTTTAGTCCACGACTATTGATCTTTTTGCAAAAATGGTCCTTCCGGCCACTTTTCCGTCAAAATTTCACCGGAAAAAAAAATTCTCTATTTTTAGCTGGGTTAAATGCGGCGGCGGAGTACATGTACCAGTCCAAAGCTGTTGCCGGATAACCCAACTAGCCCGGGGAACGCCACGGCCGCTCAGCCGCTTACTGACAGCCCTGCCTGCTCCAGGAACTCCGCCGTCTGGGACAGTAGTATGTAGCCCAGTAATATTGTATGTAGTCAAATATCAATTTTTTTCTTTTAATTTGTTGAGATAAGTAAAATGTCAATTTTAACCCGGCTAAAAATGAAGAATATTTTTTTTTCCGGTGAAATTTTGACGGAAAAGTGGCCGGAAGGACCATTTTTGCAAAAAAATCAATAGTCGTGGACTAAAATTGCAAGGTTCAAAAGTCGTAGATCAATTCTGCCGGTGTCACTATAGTCGTGGGACTAAAAGTGCAAAAAACTCTGATTTTTCCTTCAAAGGATAATATATATGTTACTGTTTGAAATATGATCAAATTACTTTTTGGGCACCTAAAAGACAAGAATAGTTGATATGTTGCAGCTCACCTGTTACATTGGATCTGATAGAATACATTGGCATGTTTGGTAACATTTTTTTTTTTTTTGAAAGTTACTGGTTCTATTACATTGTAGTATCTGTTCATATACTTTCTCAACCTACTGAAACACAAAGAACCAATAACGCCTCCACTGAGGCCCAAACTCATAATCTTCCAAATGGAAGTCCAACCCGGGTACCATTAGACCACATAGTCCTGGTGGCATGTTTGGTAACATAGTTAACTTATTAGTCAATTTTGTCTTATTTAATTTATTAGTCAAAATATAAGTGTTTGATTAATTAATTTTTTGTAACAACTTATTGCTCCAAAATGTTAAAATTCAAAAAACTGTTCAAAGCAGTTTTTTCGATCAACTTTTTGAGAAAGTCATTTTGTATGTAATCAGCTATCAGCTAACAGCTAATTTATCAAACATTTTTCTACAATCAGCTAATGTTATCGACTAGTCAAACCGACTAACTCAATCAGCTAACAGCTAACAGTTAACAGTTATTTACCATAGTTCACAATAAAATATTAGCCTATAAACACAAATCTAGGTCATCCTACACAACTAGTCCAATTACTTTAAGAATTGGAATAGATATGGCAATGCGGAACTATGTTCAAAGGTCGGAAAAGAATATAATGTCAAGTCTAGAAGAAGCATTAATAATCACATCAATTAACAAAGGGTGTTCAAAATAAAGGAGGAAAAGTGGAGAAAAATTATGTCCTGAAAAATTGGAGAAATTTGAATGAAGTATAATGTGATGAATGATGGAAACATCAAGGCAAGAATTAAATGTAAAGAGATTATTTTAAAATATAAAAGACGACTTCACAAGTACAAAACAAGATAGGGGAAGGACAAAGTTTTAAAATTGACTTCTTATGATATTTATTTATTAGACTTTTCGCGCGGATTGAACTAGTTAGTTATTGACAACTTAAGTAAATTTATCTTTTTGTGATCATTTATCGATTAAGATTGTATGGTGAATTTTTATCTAAAACATACACCTTTAAATATCGATTGCAGACTTTTTAAAAAAGAAAATCTCTCATTTTTCTTAAAAGCAATTCAAGACACCCTTTTCTTCTCCACATAACGTGTGCGATATACTGATAAGTTCACAACCCTCATTAAAAAGCCTTAATGTCGATGTACAACATTAGTGTAATGATGATTTGATTAAGTCATTTTACATATATTTTCGTGTTTCGGTGTTTTCAATGAAAATAAAATTAAAAGAGAAAAATATTCATTTTGGTCAATGAAAAAATATTCAATTTGACAAAAATGTCGTCTTAAATTTTTAATCGGAACACTACCAACACCACTCTCACCAACACTTATTATTATTATTATTATTATTATTATTATTATTATTATTATTATTATTATTATTATTATTATTATTATTATTATTTAACAAATAATATATTAATTTTTAGGAAAATAAACCAAACATGAAAAAATCGATCAATTTCTTAACTTTTTGCCAAACAGAAAAAAAAAAAAAATAACATTCAACAAACACTAGAAAATTAAAATATTTTCTGAAAATGAGTCATTTTCTGAAAATAATTTCCTGAAAAATGAGTCATTTTCAAAAAATCATTTTACGAAAAATGAGTCATTTTCAAAAAATCATTTTTGGAATAATATTTTTTAAGTTTTCAAACCATCCTTAATCCAAAAACAAAATAATGATTTTTCACTTTTAATGTTTCAGAAAATCTTTACATCTAATCATTTAGACTGAATTTCATTTTTTTTTTAGAGTAAATACTCAAAATGGTCCCTCGACTATAGTTAAATTCACAAATTGGTCCTCGACTTTTAATTTCAACCAATTAAGTCCTTAACTTTGCAATTTTAACACAATTTAGTCCTTTGTCTATTTGACCATTTGTTGACTGTGTTTTTTTAGGATATATATGTAATTTCATGGTCCATCGTCAGTTTTTTAAGGTTTCGGTTGCATTTCTAGACCGCACTGTTACATTTGAATCCACTGCCGGCGCTGCACCCCATGCCGGAGAGAGATTATAGCTTTTGATAGATAGATCGCCGAAGTCCCTGGAGTGGCTCTTCGAGAAAGTCGTGACTCCAAACGATGTAGGCAAGCTGAACCGGCTCGGGATCCCCAAGCAGCAAGCGGAGAAGCACTTTCCCCCTCCGAAACGGCGCTGTCACCTTCAAGAGCGTTCTCTAAGCTGAACCGACTCGTGATCCCCAAGCAGCAAGCGGAGAAGCATTTCCCCCTTCGAAACAACGATGTCACATCCAAGAGCGTTCTCTTGAGCTTTGCACGTGAAACTACATATATATCCTCAAAGATCGCGGTCAACAAACGGTCAAATAGATGGAGGACCAAATCGTGTCAAAATTGCAAAGTTAAGGACTTAATTGGTTGAAATTGAAAGTTGAGGACCAATTTGTGAATTTAGCTATAATCGAGGGACCATTTTGGGTATTTACTCTTTTTTTTTTTTTATCATAGATTACAAGTATCAATTCACTTTTAGTTATTTTTTCCAAACATTTCCTTTTTGTCTTAGTATTATTGTGACATGACTATTTTTTATCCTTCATCAAAAAAATCGTTTAAATTTTGTAAAATACAAGGACATTTAAGTTTTTAATTATAAATTTTTCAAATAAAAATAAAAATAAAAATATAGCGGGTAAATTCACTTTGTATAAATCGATACCTTTCTCATTTTATCTTATCTTGTGTTAATGGTTGCATTAGATCATAAACATAATTAAACACCAATATGGATATGTTATATTTTTTGAAAGGTGAATACGTTATATTTAAACTCATTTAAATTATTTATTGTTTAACTCATTAGACAGTTTATTTATATCTACTAATTAATTTGAACATGATGTATTTTAATCTTACTATATAAAATAGCCACACCCCTAGGGAATCGTGTTGGAGCCAAAAATCCCGCCTAAACAATACGTGGTCGTTTAGTGCTTGGGTAGAATTAGAGTTCTACATACACTGTTCTACATAAACAATTAGATAGCCAGATCTGTTGGGAACCTTTTGAAAAGTGTGTAGCCGATTTTGGTAACCTAAATATCGTTCTTATTTATGTTGTATATAATTAAAAGGCAACACAGATATAAATCATACATGGTAGTTCCGATGAGCATTAATTACAAATACAAATTGAAGGGTTTAGCGTTTGAGAATCATGATGATGATGATTTGCAGCCTAAATCATTTTTTGTCTTCTATATATATATATGTCTCTGCACTTCTTCATGGGTCACTACACATTCAGAGAGCAATTCAGCAAATAATTTCACAGATCAATGGTTCTGTTATACATTCTGGTTCGCGCTCCTATGAACACCCCTTCTGCTATCAAAGTTAGGCTGGTATGTTCATATGAAGTTCCTGAAAGAAGAGGAGCAACAAACATCAAGTGCCAAAAGTGTATCTTTCATGATAAAGACGTAATCGTGTTTGTTAATGTGAGTAAATTTTTTACAGCTTAAGGCTAATTTATGTAATTTATAACCATTAAACAAGGCACAGTCAAGGTTGTCCTGAACAGTAAGGGTGTGTTTGGTTGGTGGGTTTTGCCCATAGGAATGGGTATTGATAGTACTAATTCTCCCGGATGTCGGTTGTATGTACTAAATACATAAAATATATGTATGAAAAAGAGGAAGAACACGAGAAAATAGCTCAAATTCCCTTTTTATTCATCTGCTCTTCTGCGTAAAATATAGAGAGAGGGAAGAGAGAAAGAGCTTAGAGAGAGAGGGCCGAGAGATAGCCTAGAATTGGCCTCCCCCCTTTTCCTTAGAGGGCTAGAAGCCCTCTTATAGGGCCACCGAGGTGGCGGGTTTGACCCATCTCGGGTTTGACCCGTCACCTTTGACCCCATCCCGCAGGTCAAGACCCGAACCGCTCGACCCGACCCGACTATACACGGACCCGGGGTATATAACTTACCATAAAGCCCCCACAGCCCGTGCTCTGACGACGAGTTAGCGAGGAAGGGTTCGGGCTGGAAAAACGGGTTACACGGTCCGTGACATATGCCGGTTGCCTCGTTAAAAAACCTTAGGCTAATCAAAAAACCCAGTGGGAAAAACTTTAGCCAAGGAAAAAGAGTACAACGCTAAACACAGTCTAGTGGACTGAAAGGGAGCGCCCGACCCAGTGGTCGGACTTGCAACGCAACTTGCGACAGGTCGAGCCCAACCGGGTCATCGACCGGATTGCCGGGCACGACTGGGATCTAGAGATCCATCTAACCAACTACGGGGTCAGACTTACTTACGACCGAGAGATTGAACTTACTCGGGCGCAACTAAAAAGCGATCGGGCGAAAAGAACGTGTTTCGACCGTTCTGACCGACGAACGCGCTACTCGGGCCAGCGCAGCCCCCACTCCCGCAGGTGCAAGAATCGTCAGCACAAGGGAGTGGATACGACGGGTTGCCGATCGGGAAACGATATCGCTAAAAAAGCGGTAAAACACCGCACAAAGAAGGTAAACATATCGCTAAAAGCGACATCGCCAAACGGCGGTAAACACATCGCTGAAAAGCGGCATCGCTAAGAAGCGGGATAAATCGCGCGGCATCGCCTAGAAGCGGAAACAACATCGCTAAAACGCGGCATTGCTAAGAGGCGGTATCAACCGGTATAACCGGACTCATAGCCCCGGTGGTGGCAATGCCGACCTAACCGGTCACAGAGTGCTAGTGGTGGCGAGGCCAACCTAACTGGTCTTTAGAAACACCGGAGGCGGCTGTACCAATCTACTCGGTCTAACAAGGCTCGTGGCTCACTTTCCCTTCTCATTGGAAGTGGCAATGCCGACCTGCTCGAGGTGGAAAAGCGCGTTGGACGACCGGGCTAATAGCCTCCAGGCGACCCCCACGCCAGCATCGCCTTACCTGGGCAGACGGGTTGAACCGGCCGCTCTAGGCCGACCGGGCGCATGGCCTCAGGCGACCCACATACCAGCAAGCCGACTGGGCATACGGCCTCAGGCGACCCACATACTAGTATGTTATCCGAGCAGACGATTTGACCCGGCCGCTCCGCAAATGACCGCCGCCCACCCTGTCCAGCCCCCCACTGTCGGATGCACTTAAATATAAGGGCGTGTGGCAGTGGAATTAACGGTCGGGCGAACTCAGGGCGTGGTCTCCGACCTTTAGGTGGGCCGTTTAGGACGGGATATTCCCGACCTTGGGCCCAAACTGTAGTTCCCGACTTGCATGCCTTGGAACTTTTCTTCGACTTGGGCTTGCTTCAATTGTTGTTTGGTCGTCACGATCGGGGGTTCCCGGATGCCGGCCTGAACTGTGATTCTCGGCCTTTGGGCCTTCGAATATTTCTTCAAGCACTGTTTGGCCGCCTCGATCGGGGGATTCCCGAGTGTGGGCCTAAACACTTCACGAGGGCCCGCTGCTTGGGGTGTTCCCGAGCATGGGACCTGTGGCACTCCCTTCCTATTTAGCCCCCACTGTGTGCGCTCAGGGCGCGAGTGAGTGCAGTACCGGAGAGGAGCGAGCGGATCGGGGAATATGCCGTGGCGTCGACCTCCCCGATCGGCGATATGACCGGTCGATTGCCTCGCCCGGTCAAGGGTCAGTCGGCTATTAGAGCCGTAGAATTGAGGCTATTAGAGCCCGAGGGCACACCCCTATTGGTGGAGACCGAGGGAGAGGACTGACGGCTATTAGAGCCGGTTTAGCAGCTAGCTATTAGAGCCGTTTTACACCGTTATCGGTCGGAACCGAGGGAGAGGAGTGCTGGGCAAGGCGCTCGTCTTCAACTCTTGTCGGGCCGCGCGATCGGGATATTCCCGAGCTTTGGGGCCCCGCTAGAGCTTGGTTAAACGCCCCTATCGGTGAGGACCGAGGGAGTGGCGTGTTGGGCGAGGAGCCGCGCGGTCGGGTCTCGTTATCGGGCTATTGCCCTCACCGGCTTTAACCGGAAAAAAAGCTTAACGACATTGCGGTCGTATGCCGGAGCGTCGTCCGATTGATCCAGAGACCAAAAATTACCTACGCGGTAGGGCTTGGAGCTGGTACCGGTGGTGGCGGGGCCAACCTGACCGGGCTTTAAATGCCGGTGGTGGTAATACCAACCTAACCGGGCTTGGGGTGCCGGTGGTGGAAATTCCAACCTAACCGGACTTATTACAACTTAATTTAGCTGTTACAATTTTCTAAGTACAAAGTTGTGGCCCGTACCTAATCTAATACAATTTTCTAAGTACTGGCCTATATAATTTGTACAAATTAAGATTCAACCTAAACAAATTTTATAAGTTGAAAATTACATTATAAAATTAAAGTTGGGATGCGAATGGAGCGGAGTCTTAGCGACAATCTGGAATTTGCTTACTATCCGCTCGGGGCACGGATCGCTCGACGATAGACGCGAACGGGGGCGGTCGGGAGAGATCGTGACGCCGGATCTCGATCAGCCTGCTCCGGGGTAGACACGGCGGTCGGGAGAAATTACGGCGATCGGTTCGGCGAAAGACGCGAGCGGGGCGATCGGGAAAGACCTTGACACGCGGATGCCAATCAGCCTACTCCTTGATTCACTAATATTTCCCCTGCTGACCTGTAAACGGCCGGAACGGATTTGCGCTCGACAATGTTTCTTAATGGTGCTCGGGAAATCTATGCTAAGATCAAGGACTTTTACGCTGATCGGGAACTCTACGCGAATCACCACTCCTTGCGATCTGCAAAAACCACCCATCATCAATATTAACAGATAAAACTAGGTACATGGCTACAGCTTGCGTCTGACGAAAACGCCATGCGCACGGCACGCTGGGAGACTCATTTAATAATTTGCATGCATTTTTCTTTCTCCTTTATATTTCTTCTCTCTCCTGCCACTATCTTGAACTTTGCATTTCACCGTTATCAACTACCAACAGGATTACATGCAAAATGCAACTTCAGCTTTCTGCAAATTCAAGACCACCATCTTGCCCACCATCTTGCCCCCTCTACCCCATCTTGAACTTGGGGTTTTCTTCATAAAGAACAAGAAGAAAAACCCAAGAACTGAATAAATGGAGACCGGAGATCTTGACAGAGATGAGATGGACAGTGAGAAGAGGTAGCCGAATTTACCCTCCTGCAGTACCCGTCGTTTTCTCGCCTTTCTGCCGGTGGCTTGCGTTGGTGGACGGCGTGTATGATACTTCCAGAAGCAGTGATGAAGCATGGTGGTGGTGCCACGCTCTTTGATGTGGCGGGAGAGGGAGGTTTCGTCGATGATGGCAGCTGAGTGACGCGGCGGTGAGAAGAGAGGAGCTTGACTCCGGCTCTGCACGGCTGATGACGCGGCTGAACCTCTTGCATGGGCCGCGGACGGCGGCGAGCGGTTGTATCAGCGTCACCTGGTTGTCGGCATCGGAGCACGGGCAGGAACTATGCTTCATTTCCTCTTCTTCAATAAGCTGGACTTTTATTTTTCAAATTTTCGGGCTTTAGACATTTTGCACCGATTTCCGGCGAAGGATGGAGAAATGGTAAAAGCAGATTGATGAGCATAGCCGGAAATGGAGGTGACGGCCACGGTGGTTGCATGCATTCGCTGCATTTCCTTCAAGCCGGAACTACCTTCTACCAACACGCCCTCCACTTCATTCGACGGCGATCAGTACGCCGGAATTCCAGTCAGAGAGCGTTCAGGGAGGGGTCCGAAACTGAAGTCGCGAATTATGATGAAGATGATGCCGAGTTCGCATCTGATACAGATGCTGAACTGGGTGTTTACATTGGATGCAATTACAGATGATAAAACCTATATACATCTATTACAAAATAAAAGAAAAAACAAATTGCTCGCCGAACGCTTGTCTACGGCGGAACAGCCTGTAAGAAAGTCGATGATGCAGCTGAATGAAGATGACAACTCAGGCTGCATGTTGAGAGGAATCTGGAAGCTAAAGGACAAATATGAGTTCTAGTGAATCTTCCAAATGGCAAGAACAGAGAGAATGGCGGAGTGGTCGGGGCGCTCGTCTGGTAATCCGAGCGCCTGGGTTCGAACCACCTTCAACTCCAGAACTTGGTGTTTGCTTCTGAATTCCTAGATTCCTAGATTTTCTCTCAACTTCCAGAATTTTTGTAGCTCTTTGGTTGATGATAGGAACGTAGCCTTTTGCCACGGTCCCCACGGACGGCGCCATTTGATAGTACTAATTCTCCCGGATGTCGGTTGTATGTACTAAATACATAAAATATATGTATGAAAAAGAGGAAGAACACGAGAAAATAGCTCAAATTCCCTTTTTATTCATCTGCTCTTCTGCGTAAAATATAGAGAGAGGGAAGAGAGAAAGAGCTTAGAGAGAGAGGGCCGAGAGATAGCCTAGAATTGGCCTCCCCCCTTTTCCTTAGAGGGCTAGAAGCCCTCTTATAGGGCCACCGAGGTGGCGGGTTTGACCCATCTCGGGTTTGACCCGTCACCTTTGACCCTATCCCGCAGGTCAAGACCCGAACCGCTCGACCCGACCCGACTATACACGGACCCGGGGTATATAACTTACCAGGTATGAAAGTGATTGTTGTTGTTTGGTTAATAGGTTTTTAGAACACTACTATGGGTTTCGAATACCCCATCAATTGAAAAACCCATACCCAAATACAATAAGGGTTTCATTCCCTTATTCATTCTTAACCACTACTATTAGTAACCATTCCCATTCCACCCTACTACCAAACATGTTAAATACTTTCACCAAAACCCATTACCATTACCAAGTATTTGATACCCATTCCGATTCCGATTCCTATGTGCGAACCAAACACACCCTAAGATCTAAAATTCCTTTTGACACCCTTTGGTTCAACTAATATTTAATATTACACACTATGATTCTTATTCATAAAAAATTATACTTGGTGATATAAAGATTTGCTGTTACCCAAATTTGGGTTAATTCTTATTTTTCAGAGTTTCAAGAATTCAGAGAGAAGTAGGTAACACACTTTCAGCACACAATTTGTAGGATTTTAGACATAAACATATGATTCTGTATGTAACAAAAATTTACTCACAGGCTTAAAGGAGAGCAGACACCAATGCGTAGCATAGTTTCCATGTCAAGCATGAAAGTACATAAAACTGTTTATATTTATCCAGAGATATGTTTTTTGCTCCTGTCACATTGTGATGCTATAATTTTGTATCTATACATTCTGGTGTTAAAAGTAATCTATTTTACCATAGAAGATGCAAAGTACATAAAACTATTTATATTTATCTCAGTAATACTTTGTTAATATTTTGTGAAAATATTAGGTTGAAGTGTACAGTGTGGGATGATCAAGTTTCGCAGGTTTGAGTCATGGTTTAAATCTAATAATGGTCCTGTGTTAGTTCTCTTGCAGTTATGTAGAGCCAAGCAGGCAAGCACCGCATAAACTGAGTCTACAAAACTGTTAATTTGTTTTTACTGTTTTAATAATTATCTGATTCTATTCCTAATTATTTATATAACATTTATTTATCTTTTACCTTACATTTATTCAGTAAGTTATACAATTTAAAAATTTTCATTAGAATGCTAGCCCTGCTAAAATTGAATATCTAAAGAGTTGCCAAAACTATTTGTATTTCTAAATATTTTATGTAAATTGAAACTCATTTCAGTGTTAAAATCATATTATTTGTTGTACATACTTAGCATTTACTGCATTTTATCAATGAATTTCATTTAGATATGTATTAGTTTTCTTGAGCATGGGTATCATACGCATGGGTATCATACGTATAGATAAAGTTGTGAAAGTCAACGGGCAATGCAGTACTCACCATGGGCAATGCATAAAGAACATGGTCAAAATCTTTGAAAAGCCCAAAGATTTGAGTTTTACACAACACGTCTAGCAAAATCAGAATCTCACAAATAAAGACACTAGAGAAATCATCGTTGTGCAAATCAAAAAGTTTGAATCTAGGGACGGTTATGGTGCTATAGCTATTTCATACAATTATGGCGCAATAGGGGACAATAGAGAGTAGACAGAAAGAGTACCTGGTGGCAAGCAGGATGGAACAACAAAGCGAAGGGAGTGATTCAAAAAATGGCAACTTTGAGAAATGTGTTCACAGTTATAATCTTTCTTGCAAAACATTTGTTTCTTCATGAATATGTGATCAACTTTTTTCTTTAAGAATAATATTTCTTCCTTGCAAAATATCTGTTTTTCATGAATATGTGATCAACCTGTTTCTTGAAGAATATAAATCGAACTTAAAGTAAAATAACTACATTAGTAGAAAACTTTAACCATTCTATATCTGCAAATTTTTTCAAATCCAAACACATTTCTTTTTGCAAAAAACAGTACGATTCTTTAGCTATCCACATTCAATTGTTATTGTCCATGAATTTACATAGTGAAATTACATATCTATTTCAGATCTGCAGTTTATAATTTTAGGAAGCTTTATTCCGAGTTGAAATAACATTTGATTTGTCTACAGTGAAATATCAGGGGAAAAAAACCTATAGACTAATGGTTAAGCAAATTTTATCAAATCAAAAGACTTATCTATTTTTCAAAAAACAGTACGATTCTTCCTCCATCCACATGCAATTAGAAAATTCATGAATTTACATAGTGTAATTAGGTATCAATTCCATATCTGAAATTGAAAATCTCTCATAAACCCTGAAAATTAAGATTTTTACTTCTATACAACAAATTAGACCAACAGAGCTTGCAATTCAAAATTCATAGCTTTAGATTACAGAAATTACTATGTCTTATACTTCATCTCCCCCCCCAAAAATGGATCAATTTCAAAATAAAAAGGGAGGAAAAAATACTTAGCTAAAGGATTGTTCAATGATTGATCTTCGTAGAGATGGATTTTCTGGATGCATAATTAGATGACGGATAGACGAGAGATACATGAGAGTGAGACGAGAGATAGAGAGCAGATTATAGAACGAGAATTTGGATGCAAGCTGGGTTCTACTTCTATATAGTTCTTGAACATGGGTATAAACTTTAGCTGTGTATGGTCTTTCATTTTATATAATACGGATAAAGATTTGTCTTTATTTTGCTCTTATATTTGGCTTATATATTTATTATTACTTCTTCGTATCTAATTTTATTTTATTTTTGTAGAAAATTGTTCTCCTACATGTACAAATGAACCCAAGTCCATCGTTAGTTTATGGCATTTTCCAATAACAAATTTTGTTCATGCATCACATAGATATTTTGTGCCCGATAGATCTAGGATGGAGAATCGAGTAGTGAACACATACGTATAAAGATTTGGAAACTAAGCAATAGGACACAACTAAGAGTTTTTCAGAAATGGGATCTTTTCATATATGTTGAACACGATTATTATAAGATTGTTCGAGCATCTTATTGAGGCCAAAATAATGACTGGTCACAACGCCGGGAGTTTGGTATTAATATCTAGAGTTTGGTATTAATACCTAGAATGTTTACGACTCCATCAGATACAAGATTGTCTTTTAATTCTAAAGGTGACAATTGTCATTGATGTGATCATATACCATGACAATAAATAAAAGTCAATGTCAAACACTATCTCATGTTGGGTTGCTATTGAAGAAACCAGTTATACACAGACAATTGTATGTTGTTGCGTAAGTTAGCAATCCTAAGGGTCTAAAAATTCTAATTTGTAATGATTTTTATAAAAGACGTACTTCAACAATTAATGTTGTTTATTAAGAAGTTTTTAACAATTTGTAAATAAAATGTTAATCTTTCAACTCAATATTTTTTTCGTTGATCTTGCAATATCCTAAAATAAACTATTTACAATGTTATATGTATAGTTTATTATCATATATTCAATATTCAATTACTTTGTTTATTAAAATAATATTTTAAATTAAAATATAATTTGTAGATTGTGCATCGCACGGGTGCAATACTAGTTCATATATAAAGTAGCTACATTCATTAAAAACGAACTGGGAGATATCCAAAATATAATAAAATTTAACCCATTAAACCTTTCCTTTTAAAAAGAATTATTATAGAGTTAATACTCAAAATTGTCCTCGACTATAGTGGTTTTTCTCAATTTCGTCCTAAACGACTTTGGTGACCTAATATCGTCTCAGACTTTTGTGTTTCGCTCAATTTAGCCCTCCATTTGTTATTCTGTCAAATTGGTGTTAAATAAAAGGACAATTCAGTAATGTCAATATTGATCTCTCTTTATTTTCAACTTGTGAAGTGCGAAATTCCTCTTTCTTGTACGAATTACACCCAGAATTACTGCCGAAATTGCAAATCAAATTTTATATTCGCAGTTTTATGAGTAATTCTGGGAGTAATTCGTATAAAAAAAAAAGGATTTCGCAGTTCACATGTCTATGAGTAAAGAGATGCCAATATTAAAATTACTTAATTGTGTATTTATTTAACATCAAATGGACAGAATAACAAATGAGGGACTAAATTGAGCAAAAACATAAAAATCTGGGACTAAATTGCGCGAAACACAAAAATCTGGGATGATATTAGGTCACCAAAGTCGTTTAGGACGAAATTGAAAAAAACCACTATAATCGAGGACGATTTTGAGTATTAACTCAATTATTATACTCCGTATGAACATGAAGACGTGGTTTCATACTAAATTAAATAATATAAAAGTGCTGCTCTTTAGGAAAATGGTTTCCCATTATGTGAACAGCACCAATTCATACACGGACCTCTAAACCGACCTTATCTGCCACCTTCTCATCATGTCTTACAAGTTACAACTGGATTCTGCTACCAATTTCCCCACCGGCAATTTATATCCTACACCACGGAGCCCGTTGCACTATGCGCCCAGATACAAAACGACGTCGTTTTAATTATTTATTTTTTGAAATTTCCCGTCCCAGTGAATGGCAGTAGTTTTTTCTTTAAAAAAAAACCCGCTGTTCAAGAATGTACATAATGTTATACTAGAATACACATAATGTTATACATGAATGTACATAATTATATAATAAAATATACATACTCTTTTTAAAAGATAATACACATAATCTAACATAATACATAATAGACATAAACTTTTAACATAATACACATCAACTCTTAACATAATACACACAAATTTTCTGATTCGGATGTACATAATTGTATAAAAAGAATGTACATAATTGTATAAAAAATACACATAACTGTATGAACCAATACACATAACGTTGTGAACAAATACACATAACGTTGTGAACAAATACACATAATCTCAGCAACTTCCTACTGCACCTCCCAACACTACCCCAAAACGACGTCGTTTTGGGAGGCGCGCGGCGCACAGTGCTATGTGAGCCGTGGTGTAGGATATAACGATTGTTCCCCACCATATTTAGTTATAATAAAAAATAAAATAAAAAGTGTATTAGACCGTCTCACGCTAAATCATATCATAACTGTTATATAATCTT